TTATGTGAACGTAAACAGATGAGAAAGAAACCACACATGTACAGTATTTTTAGATCTGCGTATGTTCGGTGTTAAAGAGACAGCAGCCTAATAAACGTGCTGCCTGTCATTAATGTTAATCAAAGAACAAAAGAAAATCTTTTACTGATCTTGACTGAATATATTTAATAACTTTAATTGATTAATCTATATTTTATTTATGAAAAGAAAACTATGCAGTGTTTTTAAACTTTTAATTACAGTTTCTGTACCTGAAATTTTGTTCAGTTGTATTTATTTATGATATTGCTAATTGATTTGTTTGTTCCTATCTTATTACTGACTGTTTACTTGTCTTTAACACTTTAATATTTGAAATGTATATGAATCTAGTTGTTTTTGCTGTGGTATTTTTTTTTAAAGCACAGGAAAAATTCCTCTTGCAGTGTTCTGTAGGCTGCTGATTTGTTGCTTGTGTTATTCAGCTGCAACAGAATGCTTTATAAAAAGACAGAATAAATGTTTGACATCTAAATGTTTGACTTAATTTTTTTTATATTGGATTTTTTTATCTTATTGGAATCGAAACTAGGAATCGATAAGAATCGGAATCGATAAGCTGAATCGGAATCGGAATCGATAAAATTCAAACGATACCCAACCCTAGATTTAGATCTAGATTACTGATTTTAGTTTTTAGCTAATAATTCAATCCAGTCAAAGGATATTAAACATGTTTCTGTGAGTTTGTTGGGGCACTTTTAAAGTCTGGTAGTGTGATCCTCAGTTATTTAGTGCATGATGACCAGTTTTTCTCTGTAAACATTTACAAAATCGGCAAGTGACTAAAGTGTAAAGTGTATTTTAGACTACAATGGACTCTTTCTTTTTGAAAAGAGAAAATTCTATTTCCAAAATTTCTCTTGTCAGTTTGCAAATGCTGATGGTTCTTGAGGCTTTAGTTCCGTGTTACCTGCAGAAGATGAAGGGTAACACACAGACTCTGGAGTCGGTGTCTGCAGCGAGGGATGAGATAGCTGCCATAGCTGCTCTGGCCACTTCTCTGCAGGCTCTGCTCTACAGCGTGGAGGCATTGACACGGTCAGTCCCAGAACACAGCCTTTACTGTAATTACATACTGTCCTAGATGTTCCCTGTGTCATGTATAATTTATTATTGTGTTATCATTTGATTTTTTAATTCATAGACCTATGACTGCACCTCAGATGAGTCGATGTGATCAAGGCCACAAGGGAGCAACTACTGCCAACCACACCATGTCTGGAGGACCAAACACCAGGTCAGGGCAGATATAATGTGTTCATTTCTATTGTCTGTACACAAAAAAACTTTAGTATAAAGAGTTCAGTACTGAAAAGTAAAAATCGATACAGCATAGTATCACGATATTTTCCGCAGCAATACTGTATCGATACACGGACGCCAAGTATCATCTTTTATTATACTATTTGGTAGAATAATAAAATCAATTTCTTTACAGTCCACTAGATGGTTGTGTTGAGTTTTTTTTTTAAATCCGTTAATGCACGGCAAGCCATGCATTCCATGGTCATTTGCCAAGTTATAGACAAGTTAAAACTAGTATTGCTCTTTGCAGCACAATATTTAAAAATTAAGGTTATTTTCGTCAGTTACGGAATTATAGAATTACAGAATTATAACATTTATTTGAATTAATTATCGATCGTTTCTTCTTCGAGAGAGAGAAAGAAAGATGACAGTTGTGTGTGTGAATTACCTGCATCTGTGCGTCTCTCTACAAACAATGAAGTTGTGAGTTTAATTACTTAAACAGAGATTTTACCTCTTCGTTTCTGAGGAATATAATGCAGTGATCCCGTATCTAAGCCATTTTATTAATAAAAGTAGCGGGGCAGAGTTGACACATTTATGTTGGACTACTCCTGAACGTTTCTGTGTGCACACCGGGATTTCTCTCTCTCTCTCTCTCTCTCTCTCTCTCTGTGCAAGTGATGTGTGTCTGTGCGTTTGTGTGTGTCAATTGCAGCAGCGCATTAATATAGAATGGTGATTAAACTGACTTGGAAATACCTGTGCATTAAAGGTTTTAATGCATATCTGCCAGCCAATCAGAATCAAGAATTCCAACAGACCATGGAATAAATGAAAGTAAAATATTCTAAGAACACAGCAGTGCATAGTATACCTGTTGTAGCACACTGTTTACTTTAAGAGTACATGTTATGTTTAATTTAAATGTAACATTTTTATTTTAATGTAAGACTATGTTTTATTTATTTTAAATTTAACATTAATTTACTTTCAAATGCGCCAATTGCTGAAGGGTCTGCACACATTTTTTGTTCAAGTTCAAGTTGCATTGTTCAAAATACCTGTAGTAGCCCAGCAGTGCATACCTGTTTACATGTAATTAAAGGGGTCATGTGATGCGATTTCAATTTTTCCTTTCTCTTTGAAGTGTTACAAGCTCTTGGTGCATAAAGAAGATCTGTAAAGTTGCAAAGACTAAAGTCTCAAATCCAAAGAGATATTCTTTATAAAAGTTAAGAGTCAACCACACCTACCTAAAACGGCTCGTTCTAACACGCCCCCACATGTCTACGTCCCAATGTGGGAAGATTTGCATAACGCCGCCCAAATGTTCACGCAAAGAAAGGCGTAACTTTTATTCTCGCTGTAGTATTGTTGCCGCTGCCGCCATGTCATGGAGACACTGTGTTTCGTTGTGAAAGCGAAACTACTTTGTTTGGTCTTCCAAAAGAGGACGATATCCGCTTCGTCATGCCTGGAGCTGATCCGTGCTGGTCGCTGAGGAAATACATCAACATCGCTCGGTGGATCGCCGGATTGGCTTTCACCGTGGACGAAGCGGAGTCCAGTCCAGGGTCGTCACATGTGGTTGCCGCAAGCCCACCGGCCGCTCCTTCGTTGAATCCACCGGCCACGCCATTCTCAAGCTCACCTGCCTCCTCTCACTCAGCCCACCGGCCATTCCTCACTCTAGCCACCAGCCTTCGCTCACTCTAGGCCGCCGCCGCATGTGACGCTGTGTTTCGTTGTGAAAGCGAAACTACTTTGTTTGGTCTTCCAAAAGAGGACACGACTAGAAATCAGTGGTTAAGTTGTATTTACAACACTGTTCCAGAACACTTCAACCCAAATATTTAGATGTGTGAGTCAGTGTGTTTCCTGATCCTGGTAGAGTAGACTACAATGCCGGCTGTTCTGACTCACAGACTGTAAGTACGTTTTTTTATATTTAAAGAATTTGCCACTGATGAGTCAAACGTGAGTTTTGGGCAGTGTAGAGTAGCGCTTGTTGTTTGTAATTTCTCCGATCACAAATACAGACATGGTTTTATGTTACGCTCTGGCCTGACAGGGCATCACAGTATGGTAAGGGGCGTAACATTTCCGTCACACGCTTGAGG